TTTCTGATCCATATCTACTGATCCTCTATAAATACAACATCATGAAGTTGAAGGAAAAAGTTGTCCTGCTACATCCACCACCACTTTGCACAGCAGCAACAGCAGCATGATGTCTCCTAGGGATAGATGAAGATCAAAGTGGGGATTGAAGTGCTAACAACGGGAGGGAGAAACATCCTTCAAACTACCATTGATTTCTTCTATCTCAGCAAAGTGGAATAAGCCATCAATGGTGGTACAGTATTGTTTGTCTTTATTTCACCGTAATTAAATAACACTCCAAATTCACTAGTCAGAAGACTCCCTTCTTCATAAGAATGTAAGAAATGGCAATAAAAGAACTGGGAGAAAATCAATTATTTGTCTCTGATAAGCAAACCAAAAGAACTATCATCAGTCAAGGGAAAGTCATTCAACTGTTCCCTCCAATGTCAAATCATTACTTCAGAATTACCTTTCATATCAAATAAATACATTCTCTTACCAAGAGGAAAAATGGAATTTTCCAATCTAAAAAACAATCCATATTTACAGGAAGATAAAGCATAAAATTCAAAGCTGAAAGGAATTGTTTGAGAACAGAATCTTAAGAACAGCTAAATCAAACTAATATTAAAACAGTTTTCATTTGTTTATAATTTTCTTCATTAAAAACCATTTGTATTTAACTAGACTATATATAACCTATCATCATATCAGTTATTTTCCATTTACTGGTTTGAAAACGAGCAGTTACTCTCTCCTTTGTTCTTCTCAGTGTTCTAATAGTGATTTGAAACTCTTTGTTTATTCAGTATTTGACCATTGAAGTACATCAATAGAAACAGGATTGGAGGACTTATGTGGTGGGTTGACCTTGGTTGGCCTCCAGGTGCCCACCAAACTGCTCTATCACTCCCCACCCCTCAGCAGGACAGGGGGAAGAAAATAAGATGAAAATGAACTCGTGGGTCAAGATAAAAGCAGTTTAATAAAGAAAAGCAAAGGCTGTGTGCAGAAGCAAAGGAAAACAAAAAGATTTTATTCTCTGCTTCCCATCAGCAGGTGACATCCAGCCACTTCCTGGGAATTAGGGCCTCAGCACATGTGGCATGCCTTAATAACAAATGCCACCTCCCCACACAGCTTTTATTGCATCGTGTGGTACAGAATATCCCTTTGGTCAGCTTGGGTCAGCTGTTCTCGCTATGTCCCCTCCCAATCTCTTGCCCACCCCCAGGCCACTGGCCTTTGGAGGGGGGGGTTGGAGGGACAGCCCTGATGCTGCTCAGCAGTAACCAAAACACTGGTTTGTTAGTAACATTGTTCTAGCCACAAATACAAAGCACAGGACTATGAGGACTGCTATGGAGAAAGTTAACTCCATCCCAGCCAGACCCAATACAACTTACTTTCACATTTGTTTTTTTTTTCTTTTCTGGGAATTAGTGGTACTTTTGTTTAGCACAGCATTATCCATCTACAATGAACAGGACAGTTCTAACTAATCAAAATATTTATTAAAGCCAGCAGATATATAGATTTCCTCCATTTTTGAGTATGACTTGCTAGGAAAATTAGCAGAATTTTTCCCCTTATATTTGATTCTTACTGTTCAATAAGGAGCACAATACAGAAGTATTATAACAAGCAAGTCAAAGCTGATTACTGTCATTAGGTCAATATATAAATTCATTAAATACATACATACTAAGTTTTCTTCTTAGATGCTTAACACTGAAAATTCTTACACTTACAGAAAGAAAGAAGACAGGGAAGCAGAACAACCTAAACAGATACCCTCCGCTATGCTTTAAGGGTTCTGGCCTGAGTTATACCTATCACTCAGGTTTTGAAAAGTACATAATGGCCTACAACTCTCCTGGAGATCACTCCAAGGATGATAAAAGGCAAAGGTAAGACAGAAGCGTACAGGGGTTTATACACCTAGCCATGCCACTGACCTGACATAAGGTTCGTAACAGTAGGCATAAGAAGGGAAAAATGATGAAATTATTTTATTTACTTTTATATCTATATCTATATGCAAAGAAAAAAAGAAATTAGCCTAGGCAAATAATTCCTTCACCTTTCCACTAGTCCTGATGCTGGGTTTAGAATACTGGGTTTCTATATGCTTGATTTTTAAATTACTCTCATTATGAACAATGGTACACTAACACTATTCAAAAAACAAGTATTTAGCCCTTGAAATGGAATGCTGAATTCTCTTCGAATTCCTTCACAAATAAAAATCTAATTAATCCATAGACCTATTATGCAAAATGGAAGCTGGATGGTAGGATTCCTCACCTGGGATCGATCCGCTGTTCTGCAATAAGTGATTCCTCTCCCTTTCACAGTACCTGATACCTGCACAGGTCTATCTGTCAGCATGGCCTCTGGATAGTAAGAATATGGAGACGTAGTTACATTAATCAGAGCACAGGAAATGTTGCTCCTGACTTCCTGCATTACTATCTCACCTGAATACAAGTCTCAATTAGCATCATTTGACCATAGTTGGTGGCTTACTTCATTGCACTGCAGACTTCCAAAGCCAATAAATAATGAAGCACATGGAGGATGACAGTTGGCACTGATGTGCAGTAGGGGAAAGACATTCACTAACTGTTAGTTTAATGAGATACTTTTGAAACAGACTCTTATAGTGTTATCTGTAATGAAATAGCAGACTGAAGGATCAGATACAGTCCAGAAGGCTTATCTGCCTGACTGATTGTATTTTGAGTATGAGCAGCTACAGCAAAGGGAACCTATCTTTTCTCAGGTATGCCTGTGCTGTTCTGGAGTTAAAAGCATCACCTGTGATGATCTAAGACAAATGCTTTCAAAGATCATTGTAAGATAGTCTTAGCTTCCCACCATTTGTTAGGAATTATCTCTGATAAGCCAAGTGCCCTCATATATCAGATAGTTAAATTTTTCTTCTCAGATGGATTGTCTTCAAATACAGTGGTCTTCCAATACTACTTTATCATGTGAATTATCATTATGTAACATATACTAATGGAAAAGTTGCATCCCATTGTAACAGACAGCTGTTGCAATGGCTGATTAGTAAAAAGTGTAGATAGCCTTTCAGAAGGACACAGGAATGGTGTACGAAATCTAAAAAGAATCTGCAAACTTTTTCTAATACCTTCCACCAGGTGTAAGAAAATCAACACAATTCAAATGCCAGTACAAAGTTCTCTGGCACACTTTTAAATTTCTTTTTTCCAGCAAGTGACTTAAGCATTGTGGCAGTACATGACCACCCCACCCCTCACCCCCTGACAGGAAACAAAATGGAGGAGAGCAAAAAAACCCCAAACCCTAGAGGCTGTAGGTTGAAAATTGAACTGACTAATTGAGACATGCCAGGTACACCAATGGGGATTAAAATGACCACAGATCAGATTTGACAAGGGTATAAATGGGGTCCCACCGGAGGACATTTTGGGAATCAGTCCTCCATGGAGCAGTGGGTCTGCAGTTGGGGACTCCCCCTCGGGTCAGGGCACCGCCCGAAGTAACTCCTCAAGAGAGAGAGCCCTCATCTTTTAGGTGAGCGATACGCGCATTTTGAGTCATCGTTTTAAATCTTAAGAATTCTTAAGTCGGCTGTGTATACTAATTCCCCTTACATCACTGAGCCTGTGGTTTACAAATGCTACTGGAGTTCTAACTAACTTTTTACTTAAAGTAAAAAGGTTTTTTTTGTAACTTCACTTGTTACTGAGCTTTAACACCTGTTCCATTTGATTGTGCGTGCCTCTGTAACAAGCATATACTTAAGTACTTTGTAACAAGAAGTAACACAAAACAGTAACCTTATTATAAGTAGCCAATTAAAAATCACAGCTTTCCCCTTTAGAGACCAACTATGTCATGGCTTCTGTTTTGTTTCTCTATGAGAGAACACTTTTCTCTAACTTTCTCTTTTACATTCTGCTTAAGGTCCTTCAGACAAAGACTCTGCATGCTGATTGAGCTACTGTATAATGCTAAGTAAACAGCTGGACCAGAAGACCACAGGTTTCTGGAACTTCACAGTCTAGTTTGTAGACCCACCATCTATCCAGACCTGTGTAACTGCGGTTCAACTTCTAAAACCCTTATGATCCACCACCATACTCCGTTGTCAACAGACAAGAAAACATCAACATAAATTCTCCTACTAGGTAAACCAAAACATACTATTCTGAAGCTAAACTATAGTTTTTCATTGGCTAAACAGCTGAGATCATCACTAAGATGAATTGCTTAATTCATAATTTTAACAGAACACTAACATCAATAAAAGACCACTGTTATAATCGAAATACTTTCCTCCCTGGATCAACTCTGAGCACCTCTGTGAGATACCATGTCAAGATTAATTCTTGCAATTTGTACCAAGGCAAGTAGACTTCAGATTCTAGCAGGGCTATTCAGATAAGAAAAGATGTCTTGCATGCATGGAAGTTGCAGAAATAAGGTGTGGTTTGAGAAGATAAAAGAATTTAGAAGAACTGAATAAAAGATACAATAACTCAGGTGAACTGGCACTTCAATCACCAAGTTTAAAGGGAAAAATCAATCATTATATGATGTTAACAGCATAGCTGTTTCCTCTTGCCTACCATTTCCTGCATTAATATTCTAGCCAAACTCCAACAATTACCACAGCCTTACTCACCTCTGCTGGATGCTGAATTATATACAAGCAGGTGGAGACCTTTAGCGGATGTATTGGCAGGAATGGACATAAACACACCTTCTGAGGACGGCTACATGACAGAAGGGAGTGAGAGAAAAAAATAAAAGTAATCAGCTATTTATGAGAGACAGTATAAATATGTTGCACAAATACATACTGCAATCTAAGAGGCACACAAAGAACTTCCCCTTAGGACGCAGTGTATTAAACATGATGTAATTTTCTGTTTCGAAAAATAAAGAAGCAAGGTTTTCATTGAAATAGAGTTCTGAGAACAGTGTTCAGACCCTCACTGTGGTCTGGTTAGGATTAAAGCACTCTAAAAATCCTTTCGTCGTCTTCAAGAGAAGCAACTTACTAGTATCCATACCCCAATCAGAGAAGTCTGTTACTGCTTTTCATGCCAAGTTAATGTTCCAACAGTTCAATAAAATATTATAATAGAATATATAAAATGTATAATTGATTTAATATTTATAACAGATTAATTACAGTAGAAAACTTTAGAAGTATACACACATGAAACCCCAGACATTCTATATTTATGATTGGGTTCCTTTTTATAATTCCATCTATGCTAAAATATCTAGTAGACATCTAGTATGAAAACTAAAAAACTTTATCAGGAACTTCTAATTTAGGTCTCAAAAAAGAAAATAAAAATTATTTAAAATTCTTTGGTGTACTGCACGTAGCTGTTAAAATGACTAGCAGAAGAACCATATCTAAAGAAATGAACTTAAATATCACTTGGTGTGAAACTAATATGCTGAATGATCAAGAATAAACAGAAGCAAAGAATTAAGCTTGAAGTTATACATACAGTAATTGAAGTTGTTACACCAAAAACATGCATATACACACGCATGTGCACGCACAGAAGTCACTATAGCTACTCACATACATTACTTAATAACTCAGAAGAAAGAAGGATTTCCTTAACAGTGAAGCTATTACCAATATTCACCACTTAAAATCATACCATCCCTGCAAACAAAGTTCTCTGAGCTTAAAAAATACAAAGTCAGGATTTTCAGCAGAATGCTAGGTACTCGGAGCACAACTTCACCTGCATCCTCCTTGTAATCTTTATTGGTAACAGTTTATATGTTGGTCAACGTGAGTCAGTAAGCAATCACTGCAGCAGATGGGATTTACAGAAGTAAATTCTGAAGACAGGTCCAGATCAAGCTCGTTGTGAGCCCAGCTGACACTGCTCTTGCTTGTCTACAAGAGCACACACCCAGCCACGTGTACTAAGAAGTAACGTTACAGTAATCCAAACCAGTATAAGCGTTCCGGAGTCAAACATTAGTACTTACAGGTAAATGGCAACATTATAAAAAGGCAGCAACAATAGATAAGCTCCTCTCTAGCAGCTGACAGGTTTTATTAATTTAAACCCCCTACTTCTAGCCCCAGCTACTGAGACACAGAGACTATTCCTTTCTCCATAGGGTATACAGTTAAAGGTTACCCAACGGTCTAAATCCAAAGTGCTGGGGAGAGTGTTGATGCAAGGGAAGGAATTGGTACTCATCAAAATAAGCACTAGAAAAAGTTTTTTAAAATATTTAGACTAAAAGGCCCATGGCAAAGAAATGAGCCTAATGACAAAATGAAAATTATTCTCATACAGTCTTCCAGTATACTGTTCCAGTGACCTGCTGTCTGTCTTACCTTCACACTTGTGCTGGCATTTTCCTGTTGCTAATCCTGCATAAATTTGGCTCATTCTGTTGTATTAATGAAGAGGCTTTGAGCCTAAAATTAAGTATTCATTAATTTCATTATTCAGTAGGCTCTTCCAGGCACCTTCACCATGAATGAACCGAAACCAACCTCACTTCCAGGTCTGGTGAGTCTAATTTCAGAAGTTCTCCAGCACTGTACCACCTTTACCAAAAATTTCTCATGTGTAACCAATTTAAACAGAAATTTCTGAAAACAGTTTTGTTAACAACCTGGAAGCAGCAAATACCCCTGGAGGCTGTTTGTTGCCTGTACCCCAATTGCTAAGTAGAAGCTTATCCTCTTTTTCATCATCAGATTTAGTGGACACTCAATTTCATACTAAGTGCAATTCCTTAGTTTCTCCCCATTATTAAATGGCTGGTTTCACTAACAAGAGAATTTGTTAAAGTTCTCCCCATTGTGGTGTTTTCAACTGAGGAGACATTAAGGCATGACAATCCACTACACAAAGCTGTTCTGAAACAGTTAGCTGGTGACTTCAATCCAAAGAGCTGCATTGTTCACTAGCTTTTATAAGCAGACAGAAACAGTTTCCAGTGATTTCAGATCTCAGGGTGTTTAACTATAACAAAGTTGGCTAGATATAACTTACTTATTTTCAAATCTCCCTTTTGTATATGCTTTTTGCATTTTCCACATTTGCTTGGATTTTTCACAGGTAGTTTTTTAAAGCTTTGTTAACCTCACACACACACACAAAAAAAAACCCAAACCAAAAAAGGAAATTACCCAGAAAGCAAGCATTTGCAAATAGTTATAGAATAAACTCTACCTATAATTTGATTTGTAGGGAGCAGAGCACAAACCATAACAAAATACTTTCCAATGTAATTTAATTACTTACATATGTATGTACATTATTTAACTTTAAGCACCCAATTAGGTATGTAATTATGTTGAATACGTACTTTTACAACCCCATCCTGGGGGCACAAGACTTATTTCTCTACTTTCACATTGGTACCTAATGGTTATTGTGCCGAGACAAACATTATTCCCACGTGCAACTGATATTACCAGACTACATCAGTCAGATAGGAAGCACTGCAGAACACTAGAAGTTCTGTTCCACCACCACAAAAGCTGCCTTTGCTCTGAGAAGGGCCACCTAGGCAGAAAAGGCTTTTTGTCTTTTTCTTTTGTTTAAAGATTCTGCTACAGTCTTGTACTACATACTCAGCTGCTGTTACAGAAGAGTAGGGGCAGCACCAGGGAACTTATTTAATGATGAACATCAGTTTTCTCCCATTTCTGGAAATGAAAGTAGCAATCTGCTTCAGGCAGGAACAGTAGTATTCAGAATATTAAGGCAAAGGTTTGTGGGTGGGGATTAGGATTTGGAGGAGGATAGCTTTTACAGTATTATTCATCTGTATGCAATTTCACTACAGCTCAAAGCTATCCAGTGGCTTCTTACCTGTTTTTCAATACAGCACTTCTAGTTTAAAAACTTACGACAAAGTAACCTGTCACATTGGTGGGACAATGTCGTGGTTTAACCCCAGCCAGCAACTAAGCACCACGCAGCCGCTCACTCACTCCCCCCCCCCATCCAGTGGGATGGGGGAGAAAATAGGGGGAAGAAGTAAAACTCGTGGGTTGAGATAAGAATGGTTTAATAGAACAGAAAAGAAGAAGCTAATGATGATAATGATAACACTAATAAAATGACAACAGTAGTAATAAAAGGATTGGAATGTACAAATGATGCACAGGGCAATTGCTCACCACCCGCCGACCGACACCCAGCCAGTCCCCCGGCGGCGAATCCCTGCCCCCACTTCCCAGTTCCTAAACTAGATGGGATGTCACATGGTATGGAATACACTGTTGGCCAGTTTGGGTCAGGTGCCGTGGCTGGGCATGAGAAGCTGAAAAATCCTTGACTCTAGTCTAAACACTACTGAGCAACAACTGAAAACATCAGTGTTATCAACATTCTTCACATACTGAACTCAAAACATAGCACTGTACCAGCTACTAGGAAGACAGTGAACTACATCCCAGCTGAAACCAGGACAGACAAAAAAAAAAAAAAAAAAAAAAAAAAAAAAAAAAAAAAAAAAAAAAGGAAAAATCATTCTATGTCTTGCAAAAGTGCTCCATATGCAAAAGACAGCCATGCACATCCACAGACTTCTCATAGCTTTCTTTCCATTATTCACATCTAAATTAATGATGTTTAGATTCAGAATAATATTTAATTTATTTTCCCAGCAGAACTGAATCTGAACAGTGCACTGTGCTGTACTGTGGTGTCAGGTTTAGTGCGATTACTAGTTTCGGGGCAGAGATATTCTAAAAGTGAATATGCAGCAGCCTGGAAAATAGTGACCTAACGCTGAAACTCTTTCCAAGTCTCTGTATGATTTTCCTACAAATATGTCCTCACTTGCTTCAGAACTAACTTTTACCGTGTTACAACATGTCCAAAGGGCTTCTGAAATAGGCACCATTCTGGGAATGCAAATGAGTGTACTCTTACAGACATATTCCGAAAACTAAAGGAAGGTACTTCAAGGATTTAAACTCAAAGTAAGCAAAGAATAACAGTGTTACAATTTCATGCTTAGCATTTGTAGACCTTTCTAGGGAAAGATACAAAGAGGTTAAATGTGCCAAACACGTGTTCCGGAAACAATGCTTGCAATATTAAAATACAGAGGAAGCTGGTGTTTTTAAACTATCACTTGTGGCAACATTTTCATGTTCCAACACATATTGCCAAGGTCAAGCCCCAGGCTCTGTATTTTCAAAGAAACACACCTGCCCAAACAGAAATGGCTGCTTCAAGTAAAGTATATTTCTCTACTGTTTAGGTCAAAACACCCAGGGTTTCAAGGTCAAAACCCACCTGAGAAGTCTGGAGAAAAGCCACAAAGTTACTGTATGTTTGTTTTATACTAATGTTTTAATATGTGTTTTATATTAACACAAGTCCATTACACACATGCATTAAAACAACATTCAGAAGTTTTACAAAGCTGTGTTGGAAGTTTAAAGGCACAAGCCCATACATTTTATAAAATTTGAGAACAAATGTTATTTTTGCTTATGTTAAAGGATAAATACAAATAAAAATGGTTTTAAAATTACATTTTGTATCCTCCACCTTAACCACTACAGCTATAGAAGGACCTTAAAAGAATGAGTGGATTAACTTAAACATAGATAAACATAAAATGATGCACTTAAAAATAAACAATCCTAACACACCATACAGAAAAACCCCAGGGTCTGAAGTTAATATGGCATGACATTCAGGAGTTAAGACCATAAAGTTTAACAGTTTAACAGATAAACAGTTCTGTGAAA